AGAATAAGAATAGATGCATTCTGAGTATGTTTTCTTAAACGGCAAGAATATGAAAGGAAAAGAAATGTAATTTTCTCAATCCACAGCCAGTGTTTGAAATAATGGATGAAAGAACACGATTGTCTGCGATTACTTTTACGTCCCAGCTTTCATTGATCATTTTTGAAGTAAACTGTATTTTATGGCAGTTTTTCTTGTGTATTGATTATGTCTTCTGCGAAGTGGCTTTTCTTCGGACCAGTTATTATTTCCCCCTCTCCTGAGCAGTCTTCGACACATTGATCAGTCATGTTTCTGATAAACAGAATTCTTTGTCTTTTTAAATTTTGCTCATGTCTCTCATTGGGTTAAATAAGTATTCAGACTTTGCAGCATGTCTTGCAGATTTGCGAGCTGCGAAATTGATTTTTAAAACCTGAAAAATATTAAATTGTTTTCTGCTTTGTGTGATGTGATTATGTCTTTTTCTTTTTTTAAAGGAAGGAGAAAAGTAATCTTATGGCAGATACTGCAGTAGAGATTTATAGTGCTAGGATTTCATGTTTCATGTCCTTTGTCTTTTGTCGCCTCCCCTATTTTTACTGGCAGTAGAGTGGATTATAAAGACAGTAACTGCTAACACCAAGAATGTAATTCAGTGGACCCTTACAAACAGCTTGATGATCAGGACTTCGCTAATGATATGTCTCTTCTGTCTCATTCACGGAATCAGATGCAAGATAATTTAAATATACTTGATGCGAGATCACAGCAGCTAGGTCTGAAAATCCATAAAGAAAAGACAAAGAAAATGAGAATAAATCAGGTAAATAGTAATGTGGTTTCTCTTAATGGCACCCCACTCCAAGACGTGGAGTCGTACACCTTTTTGGGCAGTAATGTAGATAAAGATGTCGAATCTGATAGAGATATTAAAATAAGAATACAAAAGGCAAGAGGAGCTTTCATAGCACTAGGGAATTTGTGAAGGTCAAGAGAAATTAAAAGAAATACTAAACTTATAAATGTTAATTCTAATGTCAGATAAGTACTTTTGTATGGGGCGGAAACATGGAGAACAACTAAAGCAGTTACTAATAAACTAGATACATTCATTAACTGGTCCCTGCACAGAATAGAGGGAATTAAATGGTAAGATAGAATCACTAATGTAGAGCTTTGGGAGAAAACTAAGCAAGCTCCAGTGGACCAAGAGGTGAAGAAAAGGCACTGGCGTTGGATAGGACACACATTGAGAAAACTATATAACTAGAATGTCTTTGCATTGGAACTCACAGGGGCATAGGAATAAAGGAAGGCCAAAAAACACATGGAGAAGGGAGCTGGAGAATGAAGTTAGAAAGATGGGGAGGACATGGGGAGAGCTGCATGCGATAGCAAAGGATAAAACGACTTGCCGTGATTTGGTTGAGGGCCTATGCTCCATTGGGGGCTAGAAAGGCAGAAGAAGAGAAGAATCACTTTATTATGACATAATATTGCCGTAGAGATTTATAGTGTTAGGATTTCATGTTTACTTAGTCTCATTATTAGGACATAATACTGCTGTAGAGATATATGTTTAGGCAAGTGGGATACCAGTGATGGCAAACATTTGAGCCTTTCTGCAATTCAGAATTTTTTGCGATGGGGTATTTGATATATGGGGTATAAGATATACCCCCCCCCCCCTTTCCCGCAGGAGATGTTGCTTGTCTAAGCTGCGAGCCAGTCTCTTGATCTAGGACTCTTAGTGGTTTCCTTCACTCAACAGTCATTTTAACTGAAAGTTATAAATTTGTTAGTGTTTGGGCCAGTAGGCATTACTCATGTTCCAAATGACTTCTGATATACTATGTCACCCATGGGATGGGCTAATAAGAGCCAGTGGACTTCTAGGCACTCATCTCTGGGGGCCACCATCTCCCAGATTTCCTGTCAGCTCTGTTTTAATGCTCAAATGAGAGACATTAGCTGTGGTGCCCGACTGGAGGATGTGTGGCAGGTGTCTTGCATAAGGTTCTGTATAACCAACTGGCGTCCGAGCTGAGGTACAGCATATCTCTTTATACACGTCACAATAGCGTTAACTTTTCCTCATGCCTGTGACTGAAATCACATCGCCACACCTGAGCATATGAAACTGATCTCAAAAACAAGAAGAAAAACACACCACCTGTTGAGTACCAGTTAATCTAAACAAATATGGGTCTAGCACCATTTGCCCTGTGCACACTGGCATGAAAAGGATACTTTTACCTTTCTTTATATATGTATTTGTGCGTGAGTGCATCATGTATATATATATATATAATATATATATATATATATATATATATATATATATATATATATATATATATATATATATATATATATATATATTATATATAAATTAGCTTTATTGATTAAGCTTTTTCCTTTGTAGTTTCTGAAGCAGTCTTGCCATATTTCTTATGTAGTATCGTATGACTACTACAGTTGTTGCTGCACACACAACTTCACTCTGAGATAAAAAACAGTAACAGCTGTGTATACGAAAATTGGTCATTGATTTTCATTTTTGTACGGAGAAGAATGTGGAAAGTGGCAGTTGGGAGTTCATAATGTGGCATTTCCACAGGTTTGAGCACTTTAACTCTTTGAGTCCCAGGGGGTTGTAAAGAAAGTAATAAAATCGGCGCATCATGCGTTCATTGGGCTTCTAGGTAGGAACCTATTAACGTGTGATGCGTTCCTTGGGACTCAAAGAGTTAATCTTTTTTTTTTTTAAAGATGTGCTCTTTTGTTATGGATGAGATCGGTCTGTTGCAGGCTTCTGTCATGTCATCAAGGTCTTTTCCCTGGGGAAATAGATGAAGGGGTTATAAGTAGTAGATCCATTACCATGGCTTGAGGCGTGAAAGAATTTCAAACTATAGTACATTTCAAAACTCATGCCATCACACTGTAACAAATATCTCAAAAACTCCTGTACAGATCAACAAGAATTTTTGGCATTTGGCCATAGATTTCCCAGGTCTTTATGATTCAGTTGCACAGATGCTGCTTTTTTTTACTTAAAGCAGTGAATTTCTTTGATCTTTGTTTGACTAATATTTTATAAAAAATAGAATATACAATAATTAACACACATTTGGAAATCATTTCACATGTGCAGTGGTGAGAACTGATTATTTTAATAGCCTATTCCCCATTCAATGAAAAACCATAACTCACAGACGACCTATGCTGGAGATGACCACCTGAGAGTGAAAATGCCTATGAAACATGTGAAATATGATGTTTTAAAACTTACCCTTACTCAGTTTACTCAGGTTCCTGTAAGCATGCTGATAGTTTGCTTTGAATCGATGTCTGTTTTTCCCTATACCGCATTAAGACCAAATTAAAACTAGATGTTTGCTTACAAATTTAAAAAAAAAAATTTTTTTTTTACAAGGACATAGTTATTACCATGCCAGATTTCAACAACTTTAGTAAGTTACAGATTTTTAAATTTTATCAGGACTTCTGGTACAGACTATAAATGAGAAGTGGAACTATTCAGCCTAACATTATCACCATATACACACAAATTGCGGCTAGAAAGCTTTCATCAGCATATGACACGAACAAACAGTGATACAATTACAAATAACAGTACACAAACTCAGTTATCTATAAATAGAAGTCTGTGACAGAAACCTGAGTTTTGCCTGCACATCCATTTTACAAATCTGGCTTATTTGTATGCAGACTGTTGGTTCCTCATCTCTGAGGTAGATCCACTCTGACTTTGAAGAAACCATCTCTTATTAGTCAACTGTTAACAAAATGCTTATTAGGGGGCAGTGGCTCTATCCCCCCTTCCACCCCCCCCCCCTCCCCCACTCCACCTTTATGGAGCCCCAGAGCCCAAACGGGTAGATGATCTAAGATGGAAGACCAGAGCCTCATCTTGTAATTTTCCCAAAGATTGCAAGGGGTACACGGTAGCCAACATTAATTGTGAAAGTGGCACACTCACTTTTACATCAACTTGTGTCATGACATGTTTTCATGCCATGGTGTGTGTACGTCATTCCTAAAAATGGTTTGAAATGAATTCTGTCCGTGTTCCATAGTTGTGGATTTCAAGCTGTACAATAGACATGGCCAATAAGATACCTTTTTTAAGAAAGGGGGTGCCTAGTTGACCATGTTCTTAGTGCACTTGTATCCATGGCGAGGTGCACACACCGTCTGGAGGTGACAGGTTCAATTCCCGGCACAGTAACTTATAGCTTTCGATTTTTATGTTGTCTAGTGTGTTCTTCTATCTTTCTACTTCTTTCTATGAGTGCTGATCGGTACACTTTCTGGATTAATTCATGCCATGGTGCAAGACTGTTCAGTGTCTTCTCTTCTCTTTGTAAACCTGGACTTTTTCCATTAAAGTACATTATTCTGTGGCAAAAAATCAAGACTGAAAGGTTTTGACCATTAAATGAGAATGAATTCAGTGATGCCAGAAATGAGAGCGTACAACATGAAAGTAAAACACCAAGATGTAGGGAATGACCAAGAAGAAAATGGATTCAGGAAGTCAATGATATCTTGAGACTCCACAACATCACAGCATAACGGCAAACCTGTGTAACAAGGCAATGTAATCTAGCATCGCCTAGCTCGGATACTGATCGTCTGTCAACCTGCGATGCCTGGCGGCACAACGCAGAATATGGACAAAGGAAAAGAAGAAGAATCCTGTGGGAAGCAGTGGTAGCATAAGAGCTAGGTACATTCCTGCCAGTCTGAAAGTCTTGGTTGTTAATCTGCACTGAGGTCTATGGGTCAGCTGCACCCAAAATTGGTACCAAAGCCTTCTGGGAAGTAAAGACATTGACACATCACCTGTCAAATGCCGATTAGTCTATAAAATATATGTGTTGTATCAATATGTCTGATGCTCGAGTAGGTTATTTAAGTTTGTTTTTTATATTATCCTTAACTAAAATAACATAAAAATATGAATGTGGTGTTATTTATCTTTGTTTTAGTTGGACAATGCAGATGAACAAGCAGCCCAAGTCAGGCGAGAGCTGGATGGTAGACTCCACAATGTAGAAATGATGGCCAGAGTAAGTGGTTTTAGTAGTGGTAGAAGCAGCAGCAGCAGTTGCAGCAGTAGTCATAGTGTAGTAGTAGTGTTGTAGCAGCAATAAATAGTAGTTGTAGCAGTGTAAGTAGTAGTAGTTGTAACTGTCAATTACTTTTGGTTATCTAATATTGCGTTGATTATGTATCACTTGTAACCGAGCTTTGCAGCCACATGTACACAGAATTTAAAATCGGCGAATCAGCCATGTGTACATGTGGATTGGCACTTGAGACAACAGATCATGTCCTCCAAGACTGTCCCAAATACAGCATGTCAAGGCAAAACTTGTGGCCAAGAGAAACATCGGTGCAAGTCAAAATTTACGGCTCACTGAGTGAATTACAAAAGACAGTGAAGTTTATACTAGAGACAACATTGCAGATATAAATAATTTATTTCAAAGCGAATGAAAGAAGAAGAAGAAGAAGAAGAAGACGTAACAGATTTCAGAAATATAACTTATTATTGATCTGTTGTTTTATCTTTTTTTTATCATTCTTTACAGAATACTACTCCCATCACAGCTACCTGAAAGAAACTCAATCCTTCCCCAGCTTCTCAGCCTCCTGCACTCACCTGCCTAAGGTTTCTTCTGTGTCTTCACACCGTCTTGCTGGTCACCCCCCTGCGTTTCTTTCCCTGTACCCTGCCTTCCATGCTATTTTTTCCAAGCCATTGCAACATTTATTTTGACCTAAGTGCTTAAGTTTCTGTGACAAGGTACTGTTTACAAGGCAGTTTTTTATTTTCCCTTAAGTGTTCAGATCTTTTAGAATGTCAGGATGGTGGAACCTCATGATATGAATGTCATCTGTTCCATGTCTGCGTACATATGGTGAATAACTTGTATCCTAAAACTATTGTTTCCATTGAAATAAATGTAATAATTTCCGTTGATTCAACGCACACCCCCCCCCCCCTCCCCCCCCCCCCCCCCCCCCCCAAAAAAAATTTACCCTGTTAGGTTCGAAAAGACTTTTTTGTTTCATTAATGGGGACAATTGTAGTACTGTTTTTTAGTTTTGCCAGCAGCAAAAAATGGGGTTACTTCCAACCATGATGCTACAGTGCATCGTCATCTTCACCATCAAGTGCCTTGTCGACTTTCTTTTTTCCTTCAGCGATAGTAAAATGACTTAATCAATTTAAAAGTTATTGAGCTCCTGTTGGATAATGCCAGGAGTTCTCATTTCTCAAGCTCACATCCTGGGTTGCATCTCGTATTCTGAGACACACACACAAATATTGAAAAGCCTGACCTCATTTCCTGAAAAGCTCATATCCTGAGGCTCCACTGTCTTTCTCTGCTTCTTTTTTCATTTTATTCTAAATCTTTCTGTAGCATTTTATCTCAGAAGCTTATAAAAACCCTTTTCATTTATTAATGCCAAAATAGGCTATCCTCCAACTAACGGTTGGCAAAGATGGCGGCCGCAAAATATCCAGTCGAGCCACAGTCACGTGTCAATTGCGCTCTTCCGGCTACTTAATTTGCGGTCTTCCAGCGATTTTCCGCCAACAACCGCTACCGCCACGTGGCCCCCACGTCGCTCACGCAGCTTCCGCATCTCCTGCAGCCTTGCTCGTGAGTCTTAGCCATCTAGTTTAGCCCCAATCCACGCCGCATGAGCGGCGTGGGGGCCACGTGGCGGTAACCATAGTCGTCGTAAAAGCGCACATCAAGTAGCCGGAAGCGCGCAATTGACACGTGACTGTGGCTCGACTGGATATTTTGCGGCTGCCATCTTTGTCGACAGTTAGTCGGAGGATAGCCCCAAAATGTGTCATACAGAACTATTTTCAGTCTCCCTGTCTTTAGCAGTGAATACCTTGGGCCAGTCCTTCCTATTGGAAGGTTTGCGCACCCCTGGAGTGAACAAAACAAATTTCAATAATACATGATATCATAATAACAAAACAAAAACAAAAACTCAACTTAAGAATGCCGTTCTTTTGTGGTTCTAATATTTATGAATTCTATTTTCTTCAGTATGGCTTTTAAAAAGTTATTGGGTCCGTGAAAGACCTTCTAAAAAAAAAAAAAGAGGAATCCTCAGGTCTCACCTAATTAGGAACCACTGCAAAACTGATACTTCTGGTTGGGTCCAATTCCCCACTAATGTCACTTTTCTGACTTGTCAGTAATGACCTGTTTAGGAGATATGTTATTGGCTGAGTTTGCTCCTGCGCAGACGTTTAGAAGGTCAGGATATGAAGACATTATCTTATAATTGCATTTAGAGGTGTTTTTCTTTTCAGCTAAATAGCTTTTTCTAAAACTGGAGTTGACTTAAAATTTTCTCCGTAGACCTCAGTGATTGAGGTGCCAGGGTCACAGTGTGAGTCAATCGATAATAGTTTCTGGGGAATGTATACCCCTAATGCTTCACTCTTTTCATTCTATTGACTACGTTCATATATCTTTATATATTTCAAATTTTTTTTATTAATTTAAATATATTTTCAATAAATTTATTAGTGACCTGTGAAACATGGTTGTTTTTTAAGGATTTTCCGGGAATTCCTACGATAATGACCCATCATTTTTTAGCATTCACGAAGTGAAAGGGTTAGGTGACCAATAACCATGTGAACAATAGTGCATCTCTATCAAGGAAGCTAAATACACAGTGGAAGTGGTCACATGAGTGTTGGTTTCAGTTGTATCATGTACACAAGTCAGCAGTTATCACATGTTTAGCATGTACACACATCAGTGTTCCTCTCATTTTCATAATGTACACATTGGTGTTTCTCTCATTTTCATCATGTACACACTCAAATATTACTCTTATTTTTATAATGTGCACACATCTCCTTCTCATTTTCATCATGTAAACACATAAGAATTACTCTCCTTATCATCATGTATGCACCTGAATTTTACTTTCATTTGTATCATGTATTCACATCTCCCTCTCATTTTCTTCATGTACACATATGAATGTTACTCTTAGTTTTATCATGGACACGCTTCTCCTTCTCATTTTCATTATGTACGCACAAGAATACTCCTCTCCTTTTAATCATATGCATACGTGAGTGTTCCTCTCCTTTTTATCATATAGGCATATGAGTATTTCTATCATGTGCACAAGAGTATGCCTCTCATTTGTATCATGTACACACATGAGTGTTCCTTTCATTTTCATTATGTACACACATGTGTTCCTCTCATTTTTATCATGTACACATGAGTATTTCTCTCATTGTCATCATGTACACACATGCATGTTCTTTTCAGTTGCAACATGTGTCCTTCAACTAAAACATTTAGACACATGAGTGTGTAACTCTAATTTTTTTACGGATTTGCGGTAGCATTATAGTTAGGTGCTTGCCTGCTAACCAAACGTCTTTGGTTCAAATCCACATCAAGTTTTTTTTTCTGAATTAATCTTGGCTACCAGGTAGACCCAGCCGAAAACGATAATGTCCTGAGAGTAAAGGCGGTCGGCATGATGTTGACCATATCACTAACCGAATGCAGATAAGGAAATAAATAATATGAACCTAGCTAAATACCAGATGTATCACTTCATTTTAAAAAAAGTTCTTTTTTACTTACGCACATGAATGTTCCTTGCAGACCCATCGCCATCCCAAATTTGTGGTGAAGGAAATGGAAAGCATGTATTTAGAGGAGTTGAAGTCTTCCATCAACATTCTCAAGTCCAACCTGGAGAGTCTACCTGTCTCAAAGGGGGGAACTGACTCTAAATACTCTCTCCAGAAACTTAAGAGATACAACAGGTAAATTATTTTTGTTTACACAGTGTTAATTCCTTATAAAACAAAATTGTATAATGTCTTTTTTTTTTTTTTTTTTAACTATGAATACACATTTTCCAGGTTCTTTTGAATTGGAAACATTTTAAATAAGGAAAAAAAATCTGTTGCACACTTTGTTTTGCCTGGTATATTTTGAGTTATCTTTATCTTTCTTTTAGAGTTAACAAAGCAGGTCTAGATAGGGATCATGCTGCATGGGCAACACATGGTCTTTACATACTGCCTAGGCTTTATGCTATGGAGAGAAGGAACATCCCTGACCTTAGTTGGTATTGCCCTGGGTTGTGATTCACATGTTTCCCTGTAGCACAGTAGAACACAATAATCTGAGCAGAGAAAAAGTTTGCCAGCAATATTTTGATGTATCTTGGTATTTCTTTTGGAGTTAATAAAGCAGGCCGAAGGAGGGATCATGCAGTAACAAAGCAGGCAGAAGGAGGGATCATCCAGTAACAAAGCAGGCTGAAAGAGGTATCATGCAGTAACAAAGCAGGCAGAAGGAGGGATCATGCAGTAACAAAGCAGGCAGAAGGAGAGATCATGCAGAAACAAGGAAGGCAGAAGGAGGGATCATGCAGTAACAAAGCAAGCCGAAGTAGGGATCATGCAGGAAAAAAAAGCAGGCCGAAGGAGGGATCATACAGTAACAAAGTAGGCCGAAGGAGAGATCATGCAGTAATAAAGCAGGCCAAAGGAGGGATCATGCAGTAACAAAGCAAGCTGAAGTAGGGATCATGTAGTAACTAAGCAGGCCGAAGGAGGGATCATGCAGTAACAAAGCAGGCAGAAGGAGGGATCATGCAGTAACAAAGCAGGCAGAAGGAGGGATCATGCAGTAATAAAGTAGGCCGAAGGAGGGATCATGCAGAAACAAAGTAGGCTGAAGGAGGGATCATGCAGCAACAAAGAAGGCCGAATGGGGGATCATGCAGTAACAAAGCAAGCCTAAGGAGGGATCATGCAGTAACAAAGCAGGCTGAAGGAGGGATCATACAGTAACAAAGCAGGCCGAAGGAGTGATCATGCAGTAAAAAAGTAGGCCGAAAGAGGGATCATGCAGTAACACAAATCAGGTGGAAGGAGGGATCAGGTAGTAACAAATCTGGTGGAAGGAGGGATCATATAGTAACAAATCTGGTGGAAGGAGGGATCATGTAGTAACAAATCTGGTGGAAGGAGGGATCATGTAGTAACAAATCTGGTGGAAGGAGGGATCATGTAGTAACAAATCTGGTGGAAGGAGGGATCATGTAGTAACAAATCTGGTGGAAGGAGGGTTCATGCAGTAACAAATCTGGTGGAAGGAGGGATCAGGTAGTAACAAATCTGGTGGAAGGAGGGATCATGTAGTAACAAATCTGGTGGAAGGAGGGATCATGTAGTAACAAATCTGGTGGAAGGAGGGTTCATGTAGTAACAAATCTGGTGGAAGGAGGGTTCATGTAGTAACAATTCTGGTGGAAGGAGGGTTCATGCAGTACTGCCTGAGGTGTAAGCTATGGAGAGAAGGAACATCCTTGACCCTAATTGGTATTGCCCTGGGTTGTGATTCCCATGCTCCTCTGTAGCACAGTAGAACACTCTAATCTAGGCAGAGGCAAAGGTTGCCTACAGTATTTTGATGCATCTTGTATTGTGCATAGTACAGAAATTGCATTAACATCTAATGAAGCACAGAAATCAATTGTTCAACCTAACCGGGACCTTCCGCCGGAATTCACAGCCGGTAAACGAAGAAGAAGAATTGTTCAACCCGAAATACACAACTCTTAGTCCATAGTTTTTGCTGTGCAATTGTTGAGTTGAGTCAAGAATTGACATCACAGCACTCGGGGCATTCCCATGCTTGCTCCGTCCTCATCTTCAGCAGCCAGCGCAGAGTTCCAATACTGATGGTACCGGTTAGAATCTGGTTATATGGCTGTCTTGGCTTTCCTCTGAGTGTAGTGAGCTGGCCAGACCCTCTGGTTACACCCAGGAGCCTCATTCTCTCCAGGCCATAATAATCTTGTTTCTCTACTAATTCCGTTGCTTGATCCGAAAAGGCCTTGACTACATCTGCTTGCAGTGGTGAACTGTGCTAGGCAGTCAGTCATGTAATATATTTGTGTTTTCTTTGTTTAAATTCACAAGGGAGTCTAATTGCTTTAAACTTGGGTGGGCAGCTTTTTTGCGGGGGTCCTTGGGCTAGAATTGCCAACCTCATCACAAACCATTTGGAAAAAAATCTATTGTAAACATAACACCAAGATTACCTTGTAACACAATATTTATGTAGGATAAGCTGGGATTATAATCCGTCGTTATACCGTTAACCAGACACATTCACCCACTGAAACTCTTTCATATATTCCTAAATGTCTCTGTTCAGGCTGGTCATTTGCAGGAATCATTGAGTGAAAGTGGTCTTCGTTAACAGTTTCAGTTATCAGTTTTTTGGATGTTGATATGTGGATTTTTATCTTTCTGCATACGAACATATGTTTTTGTGTTCTACTATTTTGTGTTCTTAAGGGAAAAATTATATAGTAATTTTACACCAGTGTCGTGGGCCAGTAAAAATTGATAGATGTGCCAATTTTGGCCTGCGGGCCATAATTTAGCCACCCAACGTTTAAAAAAAAACAATAACCCATATCTTTGTCATTTTGTTTGTGTAATATAAACAAATATACAACAATTATATGTCATTCCACTAATCCATAATATTCATGGTAAATGAATTACATATTATTATCTTTATTACTAATATTAATTTCTGTTGTTTTGTATTGTTTATCTGCTTTGTTTCTATCCTGCTGCTAGTCTTTGTTGATTTTAAATAGTGTGAAAAATATCCATATATTTGTGTTTGTTTTGATTTGGTTACTATCTTGTGATTGTTCACTCTGAATGACTCATTTATGTAAGAATGCCTCTTGTAAGCTATAAGTTGGCTTCCCAGCAGACTGGACACATCTATATGTGCTCAGATTCCTCCTTCAACATATATGCCAGTGCCCCATGGGTAATAGTGCCTCTTAAAATTACAATTGTTGGAGAATAATTATGAGTGCACATTTTTCTATATCTCAGTTTTAGTTCTTATCCCTTCTCCCTCATTCAGAGGTGGATTAAAATAGAACCTCAGCTGAATATAAATGGGAGGGGGGGGGGGGGGGGGGAACTCCTGTACTTTTTGGTAATGGCTGAAGATAGATAAATGTTTTGATTATAATCACACATCACCTGCTATGAACTCTAGTGGAAAGTTCTGGTTGTTCGGCCACTTGTAGGCTTCACTCTTGTTCCAGAACTTGGGTGTTGCATGCACATCTCAGGCAGATGCACTGTGACTATCAAGGAAAAACCCTAATTAGTCAGCTTTACTACGTGCTTGTTTGGTGGCAGTGGATCTAATCCCCCCCCCCCCCTCCCCATAATGGAACCTTGAAACCCACAAAGGGAACATTGTATTATAAAACGTATGGTTTGAGCACAAATCCTGACTACTGATGGACAGTGTTCCAAGAACATTTGTATTGCTTAGACAAAGAAAAAAGTAAAGGATCCTTCTCAAGCCATTAGCATATCGGGTATGACCCACAACACACTGGACCCATCTTTTAAAGAGACCACTTGGCTCTTAGATGGTTAAGTTGTCGGCATCACACTGGTTGCCCATACTTCCCAAGAATTTTCTGGCACCCATTTTTTTCTCCAGCTTCCAGATAGAATGGAGAAAATGCAAAAGCAGTGAACTCAGGAATCTCAGAACATACAGAATTTTTTGTTTTTGTTTTAATGTTTAGTTCATTTAATCCCAGGAGATCAGAGTCAGTATTTGAAGAGGCAATAACGACAACACGGAATTCATAGGTATTCTTCTGGAAGGTATCATACCCCTGGTAATGTCCTGGTAAAGATGACCAATGAGATGTTAACTATGTCACTCACAGATTGCAGATTACTCTGTACCAATTTGAGTCTAGCATCATATATCTAGCACTGGTTGAAAAAAGTTCCTTTACCTTAATGCACTTTCATGACAAGGAAAAGATGTCAGCTGGATGTGTTAGGGTTAAGAGTAAGCAGTGTCTGGGCAATCGCTGGTTCGACTGTTGTCAGACAAAGAAGATGGCAGTATGTTAGGCACATTCTGAGGAAAAGAGGATGAAGAATTTTAAAACACATACCAGAATAGAAACGTATGATTTGAGGAAACAGGGATCTCCAACAGAAATTCTACAATGGTCATTAATGTGAGAGGCCAGTGGTGCAGGGCTGGATTCTGTTCATGTTGAGGGATAAATTGTACAAAATGGACCAGAATGGAAAAATAAACTGTGAGCCCTATGTGACATGTAACTGACACAACAGAATGCTGCTGATACAGTTTCATCACTTTTGTCAGGCATTTTTCTGGTCCATTTTTTTTTAGTTGCTTACCCATTTGTCCTGGTAATCTTTATGCATTGACGCATTCTCATAATGCCCAAAGCAGCTTATACTTTAGCTTTAGATATGTCTGCATTCAGCTGTGAAGATGGACAGATTTGTTAAATTTCCCTCCCATTTGAGCATATACTCTATTTATGGATGCACTCAGCTTCACAGATGAATAACTTCTATTGATGAAATCTGAGGATGCTGTATAATGTCTTCATTGGACAGATTACTTCTTTGCTTCATCTTCTTTCTAATCACTATTAACATCTTGTCAACCATAGGCAGACTGCAACTTTTGTTGTATTTACCAACATTCGCTGGTGTTTTCTGTGTTGACAGTTTGACCATTCTGCTTTATATTATTTTTTTTTTAAAGAGGGGGGGGGGGGGATATTTTATTTTGTGTCTGAAGCTAGATAATCTTATTGATTGATGTAAAGGGAGCTGTAAGAGGTTGGGGTTTATATTGATACCATTGTTGCCTGTTTTAGATCATTCATTGAATAGCTTGTAGTGAGTAAATGGATGTGAAT